TCCGAAACAAATATTGCAAATATTGAAAATAAAACATATCTTAATAATGAAATAAGTTTACTGATTACGGTGTTGTACCCGCAAACAAATATCTTGGGCAAGCTTTGTCCTAAATTTTGACATTTCTGTCTGTCATTTCATATCTTCACTCAAATCATGTCTATAGCTTTGTACTAATTTTTGCATAAATTTACATACAAACATCTCACAATCCACACTGCTAGTTTGTACGGGAACACCTCTAACCAGTGAAATTTTCCATTCCTCGGGTTTAGCCCTAAAAGAACCTTCCACATCATGGGCAAAATGTTAGATCTACTCAGTTAATTAATAATCAGTGAATGGACAAAACTGGTGAAAATTGCAGAAATAATAGCTTTAACGATTGAGAGTAACTTACAACGTCATTGCACACGGCTTTGTGCATCTGGTTGGGTAATGAATCATACATTTTCCACTTCCCCTCGCCCAAATTAGCAATCAATAAAATCCAGTGTTGGTTATTCTAACAGGAATAATAATGATATCAGCTTTTAGAACTGCTTCTTTAGTGATATGACCCACAAATGATGTAGGGTTACCCATTTTATGATAAGTTTGTATAATAAAACAAAGTGTTAACACACTTTTTGTGATGTTGTTGAAATTCTTAATATAATTAAAATGATTGTTTATATAATTAGATGTGGTCTTACTTAGTTTAGTGGCGATACATAAATGTAAGGCCTAAAAATGGATGGATTTGCATTCCTCTTATTGCTCAAAATCATCGCTTGAGCGACAACATGGTCATTTGCAATCATGTCATTGCACAATAACCCTACCATTGCCCGACGATCTATAAAAATATCTTATGTGTAACATAATATCGCTCCTACATAATAGTTCAAATTCTAAATATAATAAAAAAGTTGTTTTCATTCACTTAATCACAAAAGAAGTTCATTATAAAAGACACAAATTTACTCATTGATGTATTTTGACATGACTTGATCGATCACCATCTGTGTTTTAGCTGATACCATAGATCTGTTAGGATAGTCGATCTGGGGGACAGCTGAAAGAGGCTACAAAAAAAATTATGTCACATTTGAAATACACAAGTAATTTGGATGATATAAGACAATGTATGAAAAACAAATTTCAAATAACACATTAACAACATCTGGCTGATCTCATAGAGTTGTTAGTGCTAGGACAGCTGATCCTTCTACTTCTTCATCTTCAACTCTATGTTGTTTCTCTACATTAGGGCTCATATGTACACCAGGAAATACAGGAAATACAATTATTTGAAGGTTATTTGAAGGCTCATCTCTGCTACAGGGTCTATTATTGGTTCTTCAGTAATTTGTTGTTCTTCTACTATGGTGGTGGTATGTACAACAGCATCTTCCTCGGGTATCATCGACTCATCGACTTCACCTGTTGTTTTTCTTCTCTTCAGTTCGAAGGCAGTGAAAGGTGAACTCAATGTCTTCTTTCTTCTACTATGTCTGCCCTTAACCCTCTGTATTAAACTGGCAACAAACAGTTCAACTTTATCTCCTTCAACAGGGGTTCCTTCTTCTTCCACAAAAGCCGACGGCTGGATTCCCTCTTCTCCCACAGAAGCTGAATGCTCGGTAACATCAATTTTCTGTTGGGCTTCCACTTCTCTTTCACTATAAACAAAATCATGAGGACTATTAGTTAGAATATTTTCAGATTTATCAAACTTATGCTGTAGCACCGACATTTGCCCCTGCAAACTCGACACCCCACAGTTATTGTATTCAAGGTTCCTTGAAATTCAGCGAACCATTTCTCTTGGCCTTTAAGCAGCTCAACTATTGATTCCATGCTTTTATTGATCGTGGCATACAGTGGCTCGGGGGCGATGTCCCCTAAATCAACTGGCCCCATATCAAATGATACATGTGCTTCCTTTGTTATGCCTTGAACTTGCGTCGCCGGAACTGGACCAGGTAATCCTTCATCTGGTTTGGATAACATATTGAGCTCATCCTCTCTCAAATCCCAAAATTTATCATGAACCTGCGAGTAATTTCAAAAAGAAACGCTTTGATTATTAATAGTTTCAAAATAACATAATAATTTATTTGGAAACTAAAAATATATGTAACTTGCCTGATCAATCTCAAGCTTACCGTTGTTGGCCACCTCAACATTCGAGGTCTAGCCTCAGGATTCGTAGGAGTAATCATAAGTGTGTTCATAAAATCAAAGCTGTGTGAAAAAAAAAGGCATATTTAGTTTTACACAAAGAAATAAATAGCATTTGACTTTAATACGATGTCCTTACCGTTAGCAAAAAAAGAAAATCATTTATATATCCCAGAGGCCGGTTCCGTCTTATTTTGATGGCTACCGCATTTATTTGCTCAATAAGATATTCACATAGTGCAACGAGCCAATTAAATGAAGCAAACATATGTACATTCTCTCCAAAGATGTAAAGTCCTTTGAATACACTGAAATTACTAACGAAAAAAATAAATTTGATAACAAATAATTTATATACAATTGATTAAAAGGGGCAGAAGACTCCCCAGTTCCGAAGTTCAACAGATCAGCCTTCATTTGATGGGCATCAACGCCACAGGATGAAACTTTCTTCCACTTTGGAACTTCTCCTCTATTTGGCATGTCAATCAAAAGGGCAACTTCATCAGGATTTATCCTCAGATCTTTCCCTCCCATTCTGAAAATCATTTTTTCATGTATCCAACATTGCAATATTTGAAGTGTGACCACATTGTTTTGGGGATAAGGTGGAAGTGCAAAGAACTGATCAACATTCAAGGTTTTGAGCTCATTCCTCATCTCATCAGATACAACAGGTTTGACCTTATCAAGCGCATCTCTAACTACAAATGGTCGACATTAACTCATGGACCTTGGGTTCACAAACCTACATCAAACAAAATAATGCAAAAAATATAAGGGGTTATGTAGAAATGTTCAATTTCGGGAATACTATGATAATATTTAAGCAATATTATGTGATATCGTATAGTATTATTTAGGTTATATTGTAGTATTACTTACGTTGTATTCTGGCATTGTAGTGTTTAGGTTATATTCTGGTTGTATTTCCGTTGTATTTTTGGTACTAAACTAGTGTTACTTAAGTTGTATTCAGGTTTAGGTTATATTTAGGTTACATTATAGAAGTTTTTCTGTTGCATTCATGTATTAATATTATTAAGGTTATATTCTGGTATAATATTAATGTTATATTTTGGTAGTTTTTCCATTGTATTCTGCTATTATTATATTGTTATTTCTGTAATACTCAGGTAATATTTAAGGTATTGTTAAGTAATGATTGGTTTGATATTATAATTAAATAACATGTTTTATTGCGGTTTAAGGTTGGTTTTTTTAAGGTAATGTTGTGTGCACTTGTGTACAACTCAAAAACAGTAAAATACAACCCATATATTACTCTGACTGATCTGAATGATTTGTCACTCAAGTACAACTAAAATATTATGCAAATGGTAGTCTCAATGAAAATAGAACCACCAAAATAAAAATTACCTAGATAAACCCTCTTGGATTTCCTTCTTCTTTCGCTCTTTTCCTTCATTTTTCTTGCGTTTCTCGACCTTCATTGTCGATTCCTCTTCGATTTCCATTCTCAAGGGCTCTTCCGTCTCCATTCTCACTGGGCTCTCTTCGGTTTCCAACAGCAACTCTAAAACCCTAAGTTTTTCTGATTCAAAAACCCTAGAAGATGGAATGAAGATTGAATGAAGGTGCTCCGTGCTCTTCTCACTCGGGCGACATTTGGTTTTCCGATGAAATAACTTTTTTTTCAGGCACGCTGTTTAACTTTTACGAGTTTCGGGCCAGATTCGGGCCGGGTCGCGCCGTCAGAATGCCTTAATTTAATTTTTTAAGTTGTGGGGGGCGTGTCATCTTTCCATTGGACACCACCACACACATAGTTGCGTGCGGTGTCCGCACATAATAAGAGCTGTAGTATTTATGGGTGATACTTTAATTCATAGAACTTGTGCGCTACGCTTGTAAATTATCCTATTGTTTATTTTTATATATGTGTGTGTGTAATATTTTATGAAGTATCATATAAAATTAATAAATGTAATTTTAAATTTTTACATGATATTTTATAATTTTTTTTATTAAAATATCAAACAGTAAATTTAGAAGACATTTAACAAATATTTTTTTAGTGCATGGCTTGAAAATGAATTCATATAGAGCTTATCTCTAACTGAGAAATTCATGTTTTAAGAATATTCTAACCAATAAATATTATTTTTTTTTAACTTAATTATCCTTTTGTGTTTGGAACAATAATGCAATAGGTGCGGTTCACACGACTCTTTTAGGTATCTGACAAAATTGTGTTTTGCTTGTTTTATGAAAAAGTTACGGTAAGTATGACAGCTGTCAGAAAGTTGCAATCCAATCTTTTAAAAATAAGATAAAATTATAATAATAACGGTAATTTTTTGAATTAAAATTCAATTTTCTTAATTTATTTTAATTAGGGTTGTAAACGAGCCGAGCTTGAGCGAGCTCAGGCTAGGCTCGTGTTCGACTCGTTCAAAACTGTTCGTGTTCGAAATCGGCTCGTGTTCGGAATTGGCCCACCTCGTTAAACAAAAATAACAGTGTGTTCGTGTTA